TAGTCACGACTTAAATCTATTCCTAATATGAATTCGAAGAATTAGAATGCATTAAATTTTATATTATATAGATGATCGCATACGTAATAAATATTATTCCTAACATCTATTGCACATATGTTAATTTTGTCACGTTCTAAATTTATTATGAGTCTTTCAATACTATAACAAGCAACTAATTGTCGAATTGATGGCCAATGAATATGAAAAATTAATCTAGAAACATAAGAAATGCTAAACTAAAAAATTTGAATTAAAATAAATAAATAATTGAGTTCATCTTCATCTAATACAAAAATGAATCTAGCCTAGCATAATTTTAAATAAATTACAAGAAAAATAATAATAAATTGTCACCCAAATTACGTTCTTCAATTTCAATGTTGAATTCTTCAAAATTTTGAAGTAATTGGCTTCAATTCCTTGCTAGGGTTTGCTTTTCTCTCTTAAAAGGTGTGAACTGACCTATTGTTCTCAATGAGTTTTAGTTAAATACTTTATTCCCCGACACGGCACCAAAAGCTTGATCGAGCGAAATCTCTGAGTGAATTGAGAGCATCATCTCACTGGAAATGATTCAATTCAAGTTTATTATTTATGTATGGAATCCAAAGTATGGAATAAAAAAGAGTTTTTGATGTGATTTATGCTAAATTAATCTAATAAAAATATAAAAGTTTGATTTGTATTAAATTATGGATGATTGTATGGATTTAGTGTCCGCCTATTGTTATATATTTCAATTCTCGATTTGTAACTTAGTTCCATTCGTACGTTTTTGACAATCGATAAAGTTAATGTATTTAACTTTTTTCACGACAAATTAAATCTATTCTAGTCATGACTCAAATATATTCTTAGTTTGAATTTGAATAATCAGAATGCGTTAAATTATTTATATCTATATGATTGTATACGTGACAAATATCATTTCTAATATCTATTACACATATGTTATTTTTACTGTATTCTAAACTTATTGTGAGTCTTTTAATACTATAACAATCAACTAATTATCTAATTGAAGGCCAATCAATTAGATAATGTAATGGATACATAAAATTAATCAAGAAATGCAAGAAATAATGGACTACTAATCTTGAATTAAAATAAATAAAAAATAGAGTTCATCTTCATCAAATACATAAACCAATCTAGCCTTGAAAGCTTTTAAATAAATTACAAGAATAATAATAGAAAATTATCACCTGAATCGTGAAAGAATGTAAGAAATATTATTCTTTAGTTTCAATATTGAATTCTTCAAAATCTTGATGTAATTGGTTTCAATTCCTTACTAGGATTTGATCTTTTCTGTCAAAAGGTGTGAATTGATCGCTTATTTTTGATGAATTTTGTAATATTACTGTGTATCTAGAGGCTAGAGAGAGTTTTCGACGTTTTGGCCAAAGTTTTTATTTATTTATAGAAGTACAAAAATAAAGCCAAACATGAATAAAATTTAATTGGAATTATAATTTTGAACACACACGGAAGTTGTACGCCAAGTCCTAGGGCTAACCTTGCATGTGCTCGTCGGTATACCACTGCACGAGCGCCATTAAGCCAAATGGCTCTCGAGTCATGAAAATTGCTTTCTTGCGCGTGCCGGCTTCCGAATTTCATCCATGAGCAACTATTCGTACTTTTGTCATAACTTTTTTTACCAATGCCTAATCGAAGTGATTCAAAGGGAGTTAAAAAGTTAATTCAAAGGTCTACAATTCTTCTAAAGTTACATTTCTTTGATTCAAACTTTTGCTATATGAAAAATGGGTATTGATATGAGGTTGAAAATCTAGAGCACAACTTTTTTCGATTATAAATTGATTTGTGAAAATCTTTTAACTATATTTCACTCCTTTGAACTCCAGCTGCATTCAGTTGATCTTATGTGATATTTAATTATCATTTTATGGCAACTATAGAATATCTTCGTTTGGACCCAAAGTGTGAATTTCTTCCCTTTTGCCCTGTTTTCATTCCTTTTATTCAATTCCATAAATTTGGATTGAATTCAACCTAACTAACATAGCTAACGCATAATTAAGCTGTAATTCACCCAAATCACTAACAAATAGTCCAATTTAATGGCCTAGATAAGCGCACAAAATAAACTTATCAATTTTTATTTTTTACTCCTGATAGTATGTACAATTCAAGCTATCTATCATGTTTTAATGTGCTTTTCATTAAATATAAGATGCAATTCAAACCAAATACCATGTTTTAATTCGCTCTTTATAATTTTTAAGAGGTAAGTACCATTGAAATTTATTTTCGACTAAGATATGAGTCTTATTTTCTATTCCAATCATCTCGATGTATTGATAATGTATTTTCTCGAATACAAATAAATATTATTTAGTTTTCATTAATTGTTTCAAATTGGTAGTGTACTTGTAAGTAGAGCTGGGCAAATCTCCCGAACCGAACTGAACCGAACCCGACGGTTCTTATCAAATTAAATACCCGAATGGGTATCTAAATTGATAACCGACGGGTATGGTTCGGTTCTCGGTTCTAGACCAAGAACCGAAGAGTCGAATTTTTCTAATTTTTTTTTATATTGAGTAAATCAAATTATTTTAATTATAATTTTAATTTTTTCTAAAGAAATTAACAATTTCTAAATCCAAATTTTTGGCCCAATAATTTGTTTCATTTCTAATTTTTTAATTTTTGGCTACATTACCCATTTTATTGTTTCATTTTTTAACCCAACAAGATCCAATCCACTAAATAACTCTAAACACCTACATTAAAGTGCATAACGTTGTCTTGACTCTCGTAGTCAATCTTGCATCCTCGCTGACATTTCAAAACCTATAAAATCGTCGATCAATGCTATGACCTTCGATCGAAGCTACGACCTCTGCCGACCGAAAATTTGATCGTAGCGATCATTTGAACAATGTAGTCTACTAGTCTAAGGCATCCCAAAACCATTGAATGTATCATTAGTTGTATTTATATAATATTGTTATAAATGTTAAAAAATTTAATTATAGTACAGAACCGAACCGAACTGAACTGAACCGAACGGAACCGAACCCAAATGATTCCATAATTATATTTGGACCCGACGGTTTCATTTACTAGATACCCGAAAATTTTGGTTCGGTTCGATTTTAAAGAGAACCGAACAGAACCGACCTGCGCCCACCCCTACTTGTAAGGACCATATGAAAAGTTGAGAACCTTAATAATGTAAACAAAAGAATTACGGAATTTTCAACTTTAGAAAGGTGAAAGGCTACGTACACTGCTTTTCCACAAAGTTACTCTTTTTATTAATGACTTATCACTCACTTATTTGTTCATATAAGCTTCCCAGGTTCAAACAGCCTAATCCAGAAGAAATGACTGATGAATTTGTTTCACTCATGAATTTTGCACAAGTTTAGCTTGATTAAATGCTAGATCTTGTGAGTGTAGAACGTTTTTGATGTGTTTGTTAGTGTTATTTTGAAAATTAAGAGAGGCGATGCGAAAAAAGGTATTAAAGTGGACAAAGAGGTCAAAAACATGGAATTGGGGCAGAAAGACAGCGCTTAGGCGCTACATTTATAGTGCCTAGGAGGTACGAAACTGAAAAAAGATGAAATTTGAACCCGAGAGACAGCGTCTAGGCGTTGCAATCATAGCGCCTAGGCGCTGTGATTAAACTGACACGGCGCCTAGGCGTTATCTCGTAGCGCTTAGGCGCTGCGACTAAGTCTCTAGAGCTCTTTTTTTTGGACCATTTTAAAATCCATAAAAACCTCACTTCTATACAAAACGGAGGGGTACCTATAAATACATATTTCTCATTATTTTGAGGGGTTCTTGACACATTGGAGAGAAAACAACAAAAAGGGAGATTCAAAAGAGAAATTCAAAAAAATTAACACAAAGCAATTGAAGATTAGAAGCATTCATTGGAAGGGGAAGGAGATTTTGGTGCAAAAATTCTACTTTTTCTTCTACATCTTTATTACAAATCCGGTGATGTATTCTAAAACAATTTCCTATTTTTCTTCTTGCATTATGAGTAGCTAAATTCATTGTTAGGAAGAATAATATAACCAATTGAGATCCTTTACATTCTCTTATTAAGATTCTCAATTTTTACTTTTTCCATGTGTTGATTTTTCTATGACTTGAATGCATTAAATTATCTGATCAATAATTTGATGATTTTTATGAATTCTTTACAAATAGAGATATGAGTTTAGGATTTAGATCATGTAGTAAAATCAAGTACATTGGTATAACGAGTAGAGATACCTATACCATTTATTGTGATCATAATTGAATTCCTAGGACATAGAACTAGTTTAACTAAATTGAATTTGAATAGAGATATGAAATTTAATTAGTTGAATTGGCTCAATGAGAATTCGAGAGGGGTAAATTGAATACCATAAGAGAATTCGACCGAGCACTACATTAGAATTGAGTCTTAATTTGAGATGTAAAGGTGATCAATTGGTGAAGTTATTCTGCCCTAACATCCATTCATTATTTGATTCTCCAACCAATCGTGTGAATATCCATTTATTTTCTAGAATTTAGATTAAAACTCAGATTTTACAACTTTTAATTTGTTTTAGTCAAATAGTAGTTAAAGAAAAATTGAATTAAATGCTAGAAAATAGTCCTTGTGGGATCGACAATCCGAACTCTTAGGTCCACTATTACTTGTTACGGTTCGTACACTTGCGAAATTAAAATTTTACAACAAGTTTTTGGTCCCGTTGTCCGGGACTATTTCTTCTCGTCTTAATTAATTTTTATTTTAACTGTTATTTGATTTGTTTATTTTTCTTCTATTTACAGAAAATTGTGTTCGTTGTATGCTCCGTGTCCAAGGCGACGATCTTGAACCGTTTGATTCGAAAATAGAACTTACCTTTAGACGAAGACGCAAAGAACACAAACAAAAACAGCAACGTCAAATGGCTGACAATCAACAAATCCATATCCCTATTTAGCTGATTGGACAAATGGCCGCAAGAATGGTGGCACCACCGGAACAGCAGCATGAGCGAGGAAAAATAAATGAAGGTGATTTGCCAGTATCAATGTTCCTGATTCCTATAGCAGCACCCATGCGCTCCAGTATTGTATATCCAGAATTTGGGATGAATAACTTTCAGATCAGGCCAGATTGGATGAACTTGATGAGTAACACCCTGCAATTCTACGGGCTACCTCATGAGAATCCAAACACGCATATCTCTAGATTTCTCAGAAACTATTAGAACTTAGGGTCAATGAAGATACTATTAAACTATGACTATTCCCATTTGCATTGAGAGATGCTGCATTGGAGTGGTTAGATATTGAGCCTCACGCCAGCATTACTACATGGGAAGAACTAACCAGGAAGTTCTGTAATAAATTTTTCCCACCGACGAGGGTGGCTAAAATCAGATTGGAAATTCAAACTTTTCAAAAGAAAGAGGAAGAAAGCTATCACGAAGCATGGAATAGGTTTAATGAGATGATGAGAAAATGCCCAAACCATGGAATTACTATAGGTAATCAAGTGCAATACTTTTACACTGGACTTAAACCATTGTCAAAATCTCAAGTCGATGCCTCAGCTGGAGGATCAATTATAGGAAAATCTGTGCAGCAAACCATGGAACTGTTTGAGTTGATTGCCACTACACATTTAATGTTCTCATCGGAAAGAGTGGTGCCACTGAAGACAGGAGGAATGTATGAGTTAGACAGCACAACATCTACCAATGCACAGATAGCAGCTTTAACAAAACAGGTAGAGTTACTTGTAAAATTGCAATCACATGGAGCAAATGCAATGATGACCAGTTCAGCATGTGAGAATTGTGGGAAAAATCACGCTACAGAGAGCTGCATGATGCTCACTTCTTTAGAGGAACAAGTAAACTTTATTCAAATTAGCTCCCGTAATTTCAACTCATATGGTAACAATTTCCCGCAAGAAAGGAGACCAAGTTTGGGGGAGATGTTTCAACAATATGTGCAGAAGACGGACAAGGTGTTCCAGCAAATTGACATGAACTTTCAAAGTCAGCAGGCATCCATCAAGAAACTGGAGACACAAATTGGTCAGATAGCACAACAACTTGCAGAACATCCACAAGGGATATTGCCAGGCAATACAACGATAAATCCTAAGGAACAGTTGATGACACTTAAAGTAGTGGAGAACGATCTACCCAGGGCCCCCGTGAAAGTTAAAGTATATGTACCTCCACTTTCGTTTTCCCAAAGACTTCGAAAGAAGTCGATGGAGCAAAATATTCATGTCATAAATACAAGGAGCGAGGTACAATAGCCAGAGATCACTACAGAGAGACCTAAAAGAAAAGATGACCAAGAAGTGATAGATGAAGCTACAAGGGTAGAAAAATCTGCACCAAACGCAACTAAAAATGGAGAAAGTATAGAAACATCAGCTGTCAAAGCACCAAGTCTAGACAAAGCTTACATGCCTCCCATTCCCTTTCCTCAAAAGCTCAAGAAGAACAAACAAGACACAAAAAATGAAAAATTCCTCGATGTTCTCAAGAAGCTCCAGATCAATGTTCCATTCATTAATGCGATACTACAAATTCTAAGCTATACGAAATTTTTGAAAGATATGTTGACAAAGTAAAGAAGGCTTCCGGAGTTTGAAACTGTGGCACTAACTGAGAAAAGTAGTGCAAGAGTCCTGAGAAAATTGCCTCCTAAATTAAAGGATCCAGGGAATTTTACTTTACCAATTTCAATTGAAAATTCCTATTCAATAAATGCATTGTGTGACACTGGTGCTACTGTCAATCTAATGTCGTATTCTGCTTACAGGAAATCGGGACTAGGTGAAGTCAACTCAACATCAATAATGCTACAACTAGCTGATAGAACAATCGCAATGCCACGTGGCAAAGTTGAGGATGTACTCGTAAAAGTAAGAAATTCAATATTTCCTGTGGATTTCATTGTATTGGACATACCAGAAGACCGAGACATTCCAATTATATTGGGTCGGCCATTCTTAGCAACGGGACGAACCTTTATTGACATGGAGAAGGGATAACTAATCTTGAGGGTAGAGGACAAGCAGGAGATATTCAATATTTACATCCAATATGAGAAACCTTCCAATAAAAATGATTGTTGTAGAATTGATGAAGAAGAGCCACCTGATCAACGAAGCTGTCAGAACAAAAAACTAAATTTTGGAGAACTTCTTGGTAGAGATAAGAATGGACAAATCAAAATCTGGGGAGCAAAAAAGGACTGCATCAATAAAAATTGCACAAAGTGCAATGATAGAATAACTTGGTTTGAGCCACCATGATAAATCAGTGGCACAAGTCAAGCTAATGACTTAAAAGAAGCGCTTCTTGGTAGGTAATCGAAACTTTTATTTTATTTTATTTATTTTGTTTTTAAAGTTCTAGGATAGTTTAATCTATAGTTTATTTAGGAATTATCACTCATACCCCTTCTGCCCATAGGTCTTGGAGTAATTAAGTTGGTTATTAGAAGTTTGAGCTATGTAATCCTTGTTCCATGAGTTTACTTTTTCGAATTTAATTTTTCAGGAATATGACATCGCGGAACACTCAAACCAACATGGACATGGAGAAAATGAGACAAATCTCAAGTTTGGGGGAAGAATGTAAAAGAAGAGTCGATCAAATGCAACACGAAGACACCACAACATCATAGGCAATACTGACATTTCAGGGAAGTCCTCATCCTTTTCCTTTAAATTTCACATTGAGGACAATGTTTCAGTTAAGTTTGAGGGAGTGACATCACTTGCTTGTTTGTTGAGTTTCTCGAATGCTTATGTATAATTTGCTTGTTTTATCTGTTTGTGTTTTTATTCAAAAAAAATAAAATAAAATTCATACTCTACATGCTTGTGTGAGTTAGATAGTCTTGTCGGCTATGATGAATATATTTGAGAGCATGTATTAGTTTATGGATTGTGGATGAATCATATGTTTTAATTGAACTTTCTACTTATCCATATGAAGCGGTATAACATTTATGTACGAGTATTAAGTTGAGCGTCGTACAGAAACATGATGGCTCATGCACATAGGCTAAAGAGATGACTTAGGTGTGTAATCCCGTAACCCATGAATGTCAATTCCCCTTAATCGTGTACATTATAATTTGGGGCGTTCTAACTGGAGAAAGAAATGATTTACGATTGTGTTGATTCCGTGAATGTGAAAAATATTGTGTGGAGTGTATTTAATTTTTTGGTATAAGCTTGGTGATGACCGAATGCTAGAAATCTAACCCCTATAAATTTCGCTTCTTTTTATAAGAGAAGAAGTATTGCACGTATTCAGCTGAATCTCATACCTGCACCTTTTTGACTCGAGTTATTAAGTCCGTAGGGGTCTCTTGAAACCTGGTACCCTTTGGTATACAAAAAATCGAGGAGTTACTGACCTAACACTCGCTACAGGGGTCAAGAAGTGGAAAAAATGGTGAGGTAAAAAAATAAATAAATTAAAAAAAAAACTGATCTTGGGAGCCTAGATAACTAGCGGGTTTGAATCACTAAGTATAAACTAAATTATTGAAACACTCAGAAATCGGTAGAATCACTACATGAATGAATTGTTGACGTTGCCGATTGAACTAAATCAAATAAGAGTGGTGTAAGGAAATCTTAAGCACAACTAAATTTTAGAATTACACCATGGAGAGCTAATGAAAGAAGTTTGGGGATGTGTGAAGCTTACGAGCGAAGAAAGGAAATAATTGACCATTAAGGGTTGGGAAATGAACCAACTTGTGAATGTGTGGCGCTACGCTTGATCCTCTACACACGCACACCCACTTCACATTGTATGAGCGGAAGTTTGGTTCATGCATTGCGATTTTGACACCATTCATAAATGTAATATAACGTTATCAATGCTGAGCCAAAACGACAAACCGTCTAACTAAATATTTGTGTGTATCGTCCTTGGATGATTTTATTGTTTGGTTTATTTGTTTGCTCGAGGACTAGCAAACGGTTAAATTTGGGGATATTTGATGAATTTGTTTCACTCATGAATTTTGTACAAGTTTAGCTTGATTAAATGCTAGATCTTGTGAGTGTAGAACGTTTTTAATGTGTTTGTTAGTGTTGTTTTGAAGATTAGGAGAGACGATGCGAAAAGAGGTATTAAAGTAAACAAAGAGGCAAAAAACATAGAATTGGGGCAGAAGACAGCGCTTAGGCGCTGCATTTGTAGCGCCTACGAAACTGAAAAAATATGAAATTTGAACCCGAGAGGCAACGCCTAGGCCCTGCAATCATAACGCCAAGGCGTGATTAAATTGACGGGCGCCTAGGCGCTGTCTCATAGCGCTTAGGTGTTACGACCGAGTGTCTAGGGCGCGTTTTTTGGGTTTTAAAATTCATAAAAATCCCCACTTCTACACAAAATGGAGGGGCATCTATAAATAAATCTTTCTTATACTTTTGAGAGGTTCTTGACACAATGGAGAGAAAACAACAAAAAGGGAGATTTAAAAGAGAAATTCAAGAAGATTAACACAAAGCAATTGAAGATTAGAAGCATTCATTGGAAGGGGAATAAGATCTTAGTGCAAGAATTCTACTTTTTCTTCTACATCTTTATTACAAATCCAATGATGTATTCTAAGACAATTTCTTATTTTTCATCTTGCATTATGAGTAGCTAAATTCATTGTTAGGGGGAATAATGTAACCAACTGTGACCCTTTACATTTTCTTATTATGATTCTCAGTTTTTAATTTTTTTCATATGTTGATTTTGCTATGAGTTGAATGCATTAAATTATCTGATCAATAACTTGATGATTTTTGTGAATTTTTTACAAATAGAGATATGAGTTTATGATTTAGACCATGTAATAAAATTCAGTACATTGGTATAACGAGTAGAGATACCTATACAATTTATTGTGGTCATAATTGAATTCCTAAGACATAGAATTCGTTTAATTTAGTTGAATTTGCATAGAGATATGAAATTTAATTAGTTGAATAGGCTCAATGAGAACTCGAGAGGGATAAATTGAATACAATATGAGAATTCGACCGAGCACCACATTAGAATTGAGTTTTAATTTGAGATGTAAATGTGATCAATTGGTGAAGTTATTCTGCCCTAACATCCATTCATTATTTAATTCTCCAACCAATTGTGTGAACATCAATTTATTTTCTATAATTTAGATTAAAACTCAGATTTTACAACTTTTAATTTGTTTTAGTCAAATAGTAGTTAAAGAAAATTTGAATTAAGTGCAAGAAAAATAGTCCTTGTGGGATTGACAATCCGGACTCTTAGGTCCACTACACTTGCGAAACTAAAATTTTACAACAATGACCCCAGCGTGAAATGCGATTCACATTGCTCGACTCCAAAAAGCACGTTTAACTTTCTCAAGTATTGTCTATGAGAACCTTATAATTAATGATTAGTATTTTTTAATAGACCTTTTCTGTTGTACTGTAATTCTTAGAAAGTAGGTTAAGTGCGTCCATTTTGAATAGAAGTATTTCATAACTTGATTAAAATAAGTCTAATACCGACATAGAGACTATGAGATCAAATGATTGCTACAGCTATTGTGATTTTATTGGATTTCTTGACCTAATCCGATAGAACTTACCATTTTTAACTTCAGAAGATAAAATAAATCAAAGAACTTGTAAGATTTCGAACAAGAAAGAACAATTTAACACTTAGGTCTCCAAAATTAGCAGTAAAAATGTTATAGAGCTCATAGTCATAGCTCATGCCATGAAGGGTCGAGACAAGTCAAAGATCACAACGTCAGAAACCTAGGGATCAAGTAAGGGAACAAAAAAGTTTCTATATATTCAATTAAAACCATATTGACCATTGACTGGCATAAAATCTTAAGTGTGCAGTACTGAAGTTGTTCAAAGTTGGATAGCCTGCACTCACCAATTTTCTTAATGTTACGTCACTGAAAATTGCAACCTTAGAATAAGGAAACTCATTTGTGAGATGTTTACAATTTGCATGGTCAAATTAATAATGCTTTTAATTATTGTGAACACATTTCATCATGGGGATCTTGAATATACATAGAATATACTGTCTTTACCGAAGTTTTGATTAGTCTGTCGACAAAATATGTTGAGACAAATGTTGTTGGTGACTAACACAGTATTTTTTTCTTTCAGCAAAGGCATCCACACATCCCCAGCGATTTTTGATTTATTTTTCAAGGCTCTCTAATTCTATGTTAAATATAATCAATGAATATTATTATCTTGCTTTCTCGTGTTTTAGATTTCAAGACAACTTTATATAAGATTGTTAGTGTGGAGCCTTGTGTTTCTACATCATGAACATTATGGGACGATGGAAAGAAAATTATCTACTTTATTGAAAACAAGATTTAAGATATTGCTCGATATGTTGAAATATCAAACCCCAAATACAACATCAACAAATTAAGTTTTATTCTCAATTATTGGAATTGACTATATGATTTTTTTTAAAATAATTAACTATTTAAAAATAATAACACCCGTGTTGGTTTAGCTATATCCTACGCTATCGAACCTTTGTATAGTAACAATAAAATCAAATAATAAAGATATCACAAATTATTACTTAATTAGGAGGA